CATTGTATCTCTGTTGTAGAGTAGAATTGATCTGATGAAGTGACATTGTATCTCTGTTGTAGAGTAGAATTCATCTGATGTTGTGACATTGTATCTCTGTTGTAGAGTAGAATTCATCTGATGAAGTGACATTGTATCTCTGTTGTAGAGTAGAATTGATCTGATGAAGTGACATTGTATCTCTGTTGTAGAGTAGAATTCATCTGATGAAGTGACATTGTATCTCTGTTGTAGAGTAGAATTCATCTGATGAAGTGACATTGTATCTCTGTTGTAGAGTAGAATTGATCTGATGAAGTGACATTGTATCTCTGTTGTAGAGTAGAATTCATCTGATGTTGTGACATTGTATCTCTGTTGTAGAGTAGAATTCATCTGATGAAGTGACATTGTATCTCTGTTGTAGAGTAGAGTTGATCTGATTTAGTGACATTGTATCTCTGTTGTAGAGTAGAATTCATCTGATGAAGTGACATTGTATCTCTGTTGTAGAGTAGAATTCATCTGATGAAGTGACATTGTATCTCTGTTGTAGAGTAGAATTCATCTGATGTTGTGACATTGTATCTCTGTTGTAGAGTAGAATTGATCTGATGAAATGACATTGTATCTCTGTTGTAGAGTAGAATTGATCTGATGAAGTGACATTGTATCTCTGTTGTAGAGTAGAATTCATCTGATGAAGTGACATTGTATCTCTGTTGTAGAGTAGAATTCATCTGATGAAGTGTCATTGTATCTCTGTTGTAGAGTAGAATTCATCTGATGTTGTGACATTGTATCTCTGTTGTAGAGTAGAATTGATCTGATGAAATGACATTGTATCTCTGTTGTAGAGTAGAATTCATCTGATGAAGTGACATTGTATCTCTGTTGTAGAGTAGAATTGATCTGATGAAGTGACATTGTATCTCTGTTGTAGAGTAGAATTGATCTGATGAAGTGACATTGTATCTCTGTTGTAGAGTAGAATTCATCTGATGTTGTGACATTGTATCTCTGTTGTAGAGTAGAATTCATCTGATGAAGTGACATTGTATCTCTGTTGTAGAGTAGAATTGATCTGATGAAGTGACATTGTATCTCTGTTGTAGAGTAGAATTGATCTGATGAAGTGACATTGTATCTCTGTTGTAGAGTAGAATTCATCTGATGAAGTGACATTGTATCTCTGTTGTAGAGTAGAATTGATCTGATGAAGTGACATTGTATCTCTGTTGTAGAGTAGAATTCATCTGATGTTGTGACATTGTATCTCTGTTGTAGAGTAGAATTCATCTGATGAAGTGACATTGTATCTCTGTTGTAGAGTAGAGTTGATCTGATTTAGTGACATTGTATCTCTGTTGTAGAGTAGAATTCATCTGATGAAGTGACATTGTATCTCTGTTGTAGAGTAGAATTGATCTGATGAAGTGACATTGTATCTCTGTTGTAGAGTAGAATTCATCTGATGAAGTGACATTGTATCTCTGTTGTAGAGTAGAATTCATCTGATGTTGTGACATTGTATCTCTGTTGTAGAGTAGAATTGATCTGATGAAATGACATTGTATCTCTGTTGTAGAGTAGAATTGATCTGATGAAGTGACATTGTATCTCTGTTGTAGAGTAGAATTCATCTGATGAAGTGACATTGTATCTCTGTTGTAGAGTAGAATTCATCTGATGAAGTGACATTGTATCTCTGTTGTAGAGTAGAATTCATCTGATGTTGTGACATTGTATCTCTGTTGTAGAGTAGAATTGATCTGATGAAATGACATTGTATCTCTGTTGTAGAGTAGAATTGATCTGATGAAGTGACATTGTATCTCTGTTGTAGAGTAGAATTCATCTGATGTTGTGACATTGTATCTCTGTTGTAGAGTAGAATTCATCTGATGAAGTGACATTGTATCTCTGTTGTAGAGTAGAATTGATCTGATGAAGTGACATTGTATCTCTGTTGTAGAGTAGAATTGATCTGATGAAGTGACATTGTATCTCTGTTGTAGAGTAGAATTCATCTGATGAAGTGACATTGTATCTCTGTTGTAGAGTAGAATTGATCTGATGAAGTGACATTGTATCTCTGTTGTAGAGTAGAATTGATCTGATGAAGTGACATTGTATCTCTGTTGTAGAGTAGAATTCATCTGATGAAGTGACATTGTATCTCTGTTGTAGAGTAGAATTCATCTGATTTAGTGACATTGTATTTCTGTTGTAGAGAAGTCCAATTTTCTTACCCAGAATCTGTACACTTGCTGTGACAATGGATTGTTAGTTATTAACAGATCACACAAGAGATATGAATTACATCAGATGGTCATTCCCGAAGGCTGGTGCTGGCCTATTATAGCTACCTAAGTCATTATTCTGCATTATCTATATGCATGTCTTGCAAAACAGCACACTCAGTCTCAGCTATCTTCAATCTGCTTACTGTGCTTGAAAATTGTTGCAATTTTTTGATATAAAAATGCCATGGGGCACATAAAATTCATTTTTGAAATTTTGAACGAGTATTTAACACTCTGCATGAACAACAAATGGGGTTAAACATACAGTGTATGGTGAGAGTCTTTTAGCAACAGCATCTGTTGGTAACACTAAGACAGAGACTGTCATTCCAGAATCTCCACTATACTTTGTAGTGTGTAGTAATTAGACACATGAATGACAGATATGAACTTTTAACAGACAAACCCAGCAATTAGACAGCGCGTTGATACCTCTGTTATTGCATACTAAGAGCAAGGTATTTGTAAGGTGTACTTTTACGTTGAAGGAGAATTTTGTACCTTTATACTGGATGATAGAGTTAACTCGTTAACCTGTTTGTACTTCTACTGAGAAACTTGTGCACTTGTACACACAGTAATCTGGATGTTGTAGCAAAAAAAAAAAGAGCCAGCATCATTCACGATGTATATATGCTGTAACCAAAAAACATTATCAATGGTAACCGCTGGTGTTTACCTTGTACACAGATGCTGGAGGGATGATACTCATCAACAAACGTATTTCCCACAAGTGCTTGTCAGCAGTAAAGTCTCACCAAACACTGACTCAAGTGCCTACAATACTGTTCTGAGGAGGCCAATCTTAAAATTTCAAACGTTAATAAAAGAGAGACTGCAATACAATTGGACTCCTTTAGATAAAAAATTAGTTTCGACACTGAAACTCCATGGGGCTCTTTCATACCAATTAAAGTTTCAACACAAGAACACAAAGAGGTTCCTGTTTTTCAGATTGATATAGACATGAAGTTACTTTCTTCGAAAATGACAGTTGCCACACTTCAGAAAAGAGACTTTTAAACTAGAATTACACAGAAGTTGAAAGGTCAATTATACAGTCAACAATGTGAATGGTGTAGTGGTCATGCTTAAATTCTGATCCAATTTAAAATATAAAACAGGAAATTGGAAACATCAGGTTTTACAGCAAGCTTCATAAAAAAAATATTCACTCTGGTTATGATAACCACACATAAACAACTTCAACACCAAAATCCAAAATGGCCACAAACAGCCCTAACTTTAAATCTAGATTAACTTCAAATTTGAGCAAGTTCATATTAACAAAATTATCTGGAAAGTAACTACAGTTGTTCCTCACAAAATCAAGGCAAAGCAAAGTAATTCAATACTGTATATGTGCTTAGTTAAGCTATAACCTTGTAATTCAATACTATATATGTGCTTATTTAAGCTATAACCCTGTAATTCAATACTGTATATGTGCTTATTTAAGCTATAACCCTGTAATTCAATACTGTATCTGTGCTTATTTAAGTTGTAACCCTGTAATTCAATACTGTATCTGTGCTTATTTAAGTTGTAACCCTGTAATTCAATACTGTATATGTGCTAATTTAAGTTGTAACCCTGTAATTCAATACTGTATCTGTGCTTATTTAAGTTGTAACCCTGTAATTCAATACTGTATCTGTGCTTATTTAAGTTGTAACCCTGTAATTCAATACTGTATATGTGCTAATTTAAGCTGTAACCCTGTAATTCAATACTGTATCTGTGCTTATTTAAGTTGTAACCCTGTAATTCAATACTGTATATGTGCTAATTTAAGCTGTAACCCTGAAATTCAATGCCGTATATGTACTTATTTAAGCTGTAACTCTGTAATTCAATACTGTATCTGTGCTTATTTAAGTTGTAACCCTGTAATTCAATACTGTAAATATACTTATTTAAGCTGTAACTCAATATTGTATCTGTGCTTATTTAAGTTGTAACCTTGCAATTCAATACTGTAAATATACTTATTTAAGCTGTAACCCTGTAATTCAATACTGTATCTGTGCTTATTTAAGTTGTAACCCTGTAATTCAATACTGTATCTGTGCTTATTTAAGCTATAACCCTGTAATTCAATACTGTATATGTGCTTATTTAAGCTGTAACCCTGAAATTCAATACTGTGTCTGTGCTTATTTAAGTTGTAACCCTGTAATTCAATACTGTATCTGTGCTTATTTAAGTTGTAACCCTGTAATTCAATACTGTAAATATACTTATTTAAGCTATAACCCTGTAATTCTATACTGTATATGTGCTTATTTAAGCTGTAACCCTGTAATTCAATATTGTATCTGTGCTTATTTAAGTTGTAACCTTGTAATTCAATACTGTAAATATACTTATTTAAGTTGTAACCCTGTAATTCAATATTGTATATGTGCTTATTTAAGCTGTAACTCTGTAATTCAATACTGTATCTGTGCTTATTTAAGCTGTAACCCTGTAATTCAATATTGTATGTGTGCTTATTTAAGCAGTAATCTAATTTTAGCACTTAAATGTGAATGTGATAATTGTTTCTATATTCTGTTGATATTGTAACCATGCACTTATTTGCCATGAAGTGATTATGCATTAAATTTGATGGTGCCAAATTTAGTACATATATGGTCTAGTCACTACAGATCTAAAATATAACATATAAAATGAATGAGTATCTGTCAGCATTGAGACAAGTTTGTCACGTACCTGTGATTTCTTCTCTCCTTTCCTCTTCACACGATTGCTTTTCTCTTTGTCCCGTTCCTTGTTCTGTGAGTTACACAGGTCTTTCTTGTCATTGGACTTGAGGTTCATCGAGTTCTTCACAGCATTCTGAAACAAATACAAGATACAAATCCTTACTAAGTGTTTATCAATAGTTCACCCATTAAGATCTACTCACAAGTTAAATAAAATTCTGAACCAGATGACCATCAACATTCTGCACTGGAACAGGAATTCCTAATTATATACTTCAAACAAAACTTGTTGTCATCGTTAATTTAATGTAATAGAGAAGTCACACAAAAAGACACATTCTAATGTAACTTGTAACATGGAAGGCCAGACTCTTAAGTAAAGAAATCCAATATCGACATTTTATTCTAACGTAATGCAAAAGCAACAAGGAAAAATGTTATCCATTATAAAAAGGAACTTTGGAACATGTCAGCATCAAAGGAAATCAGCATGAAAATTGTTTTATTTAAATGTGGTAGGAAACACAATTTTGCTTCAGTAATTGACTCCGGCTTCTGTCTTCACAATAACACAATAGCTATTCCATATTGATTTCATATCCACACCTCCACATTTATGTGACTTTATCAGACTGCTGCGATATAAACACAGCCCTAGAGACAGAATACAGATTGAAAGTCATTACTATAGGGAAAACAGTGTCATCAAATGGTTCAAACCAGCAGCACAACCATTTTTTATAAACAGGAATTGATTGAATCTTTTTCATTTGAATCATTACGAGGTCACTTGCCCAAACCAGACCTTCCAGTTAAGTATTAGAAGGACAATTTGCTACAGAAAAACTGAAAGGTCAAAGGGTAATTGTGTCTCTTAAATTGATTTTAGAAGTTAATACTGCAGCAAAACGAAGTTAGGTTAGAACTCTTAAAGACATGTGCCCACTTACTGGGCTCAAGAGCACATGGTGAAAAATGGCCATCTGTGCTACAAATCTCTGGTTTTATTGAGCATTGTGTGGCTTCCTCCTGCACTTCATTACAATTCATGGTGGCTTCTCGCATATTACAACCGCCTGATTTGTTTAGAATGTTGGTAATACCAAACTAAATCTCCAACATAACAATGACGAGGAAATAACCGAGAAATATCGGCCATGGATATCAAGTTTTTAAAGATCTGCTGGTATGGCACACCCGCATATTTCCAGGTTTTTCCCAAATAGTGAAATATCTTTATTAGATTATATCGGAGTTATACAAGACTTATCCTACAAGTAAACTTATCTTGGTCATAGATTGTACAGTACTAAGGCTAGCTGTAGAAATACCCCAGTCACAGATTTCCACCAGTTGCACATGACGTACCCTGATTACAAACTTATCTAATTACTGGATAGACATCCTAGATTTCAGACAACCTACCCTAGATATCAAACTTTCGATAGATAGTAATTGTCTTGTTGCCTTTTCTTAGTTGTACAAAACTCAGTCACAGCACCCTGGTCATAAAAAACTTAACCCAGATGTACAAAACTCAGTCACAGCACCCTGGTCATAAAAAACTTAACCCAGATGTACAAAACTCAGTCACAGCACCCTGGTCAGAAAAAACTTAACCCAGATGTACAAAACTCAGTCACAGCACCCTGGTCAGAAAAAACTTAACCCAGATGTACAAAACTCAGTCACAGCACCCTGGTCATAAAAAACTTAACCCAGTTGTACAAGACTTCATCTGTAAATTATTGACATCTGTCTGTACTGGTCACAGTCACCAACAACACATCTTCAATGTCATGCATCTTCTACTGTTATATTCAGAGTGCATGGTCAAGCCTATGTAGAAATACATACGGGTAACCTTGAGCCCTAATTGGTTTGCTGATCCTATCAAACTGAAGGATAAAATGCCAATTGACTACAGATCAACAACAGGTTTCAGGACAACAATGACCAATCCCTGGACTACAACCAGTGTGATTTTAATGGGGACAGACTGGTACTACACAGCCAGCAACCACTACAGCCAATGTGTTGTGATACTACACGACCACAAAACTTTCAGATTAATGCCTGCTTTGTATACATCTGCTGGTCACCAGTGCCTAATAATGCTGATGTTTTATGTGACCGTTACGCCTCCCCAGCAGCTGTCCCACATTGACCGGCTAGTCAGGGTCACTTCAGTGAAGTAAAAGGGGCAGATGCCCTCAAATCAAATTACTACTGATCAATGTCTCTACTGAAATATAAATATGAATTGTGTAAAACAGGGCTATTGACAGTGATAAAATCGTTTGGTATTTGTTAGAATTCCACTGGATTATGTAAAAAAAAAAGTGAAACTTCAAATTTCACATGTAAATCCCCAAATTAAGGAATGACCATTTTCAGCTGGTATTCTGAAACAACATCTCCGAACTATGTTACATTACTAAACAATAGGCACACTTCTCATGTTAACAACCTCACATTTACCTATACATCATCATATATTGATGACTAGTTAGCAAAAGCTGTAACATTTAATTAGATGAAAATATTACACATTAAAACCAAATATTATCTATGACAAAGTTAACATGTGATCATCTGCTACAAGAGACTTTCTGAATTTATAGGATATGTACAATGGTACATGTGTCATTCTATGTGTCATTGTCAGTAAATTCATCACTTCTCTACATTTATAACATAACTTTTGTATACATAATAGAGTTAGATTTGTTGACAACCTGAGTTGATATTTTGTTAAGTGCTGTTGTTAATATGTCATATATCAACACATTCCTGTATACTTGGAAAATTTCATATTTCTGATGTTTTTGTACCAAGATAATTTCATTACGATGTATTTTGAATATGATTTGATGCATTTTACAATTTGAAAATGCTCTTTGTGATATTATATATTTTGAATGAAGATATGGTATTTATAATTTGAGAGTTTGTATCATTATATGTAATAAATTTATATTCAGGGATCTGATGAGAGGTGAAAGATTGGAGGTGGTTATAGCAACTCTTCATACAATAAAATAATTACAGATTCTATAATGTTATCATCACCTATCCTAAACCTGCTTGCCTACGCATGTACTTATGTCTAATCGTGTTTTAGGTTTACCTACGTATGTGTCTATGTCTGATTGTGTTTTAGGTGTGTCTACATATGTACCTATGTCTGATAGTGTTTTAGGTGTGTCTACGTATGTGTCTATGTCTGTAGTGTTTTAGGTGTGTCTACGTATGTACCTATATCTGACAGTGTTTTAGGTGTGTCTACGTATGTACCTATATCTGACAGTGTTTTAGGTGTGTCTATGTATGTGTCTATGTATGATAGTGTTTTAGGTGTGTCTATGTATGTGTCTATGTCTAATAGTGTTTTAGGTGTGTCTACGTATGTACATATGTCTGATAGTGTTTTAGGTGTGTCTACGTATGTGTCTATGTGTGATAGTGTTTTAGGTGTACCTACATATGTACTTATGTCTGATAGTGTTTTAGGTGTGTCTACGTATGTACCTATGTCTGATAGTGTTTTAGGTGTGTCTACGTATGTGTCTATGTCTGATAGTGTCAGTTAATGTCACTGTCAATTACAACAAACGAATGTTTGTTATCAAATAATCTTCATAATTACAATCCTGTATCCCTGATCTTATTGTGTTGATAGCTTTACATACTAAACTTAAAATTAATTCATGGCATATTTATCTAACTCTGTCCTCATGGTATGCTAAATATAGGACAATAAGCCCAGGGGACAAACACATTGTCTCTAACTCTGTCCTCATGGTATGCTAAATATAGGACAATAAGCCCAGGGGTCAACACATTGTCTCTAACTCTGTCCTCATAGTAGGCTAAATATAGGACAATAAGCCCAGGGGGCAAACACATTGTCTCTAACTCTGTCCTCATGGTAGGCTAAATATAGGACAATAAGCCCAGGGGACAAACACATTGTCTATAAGTCTGTCCTCATGGTAGGCTAAATATAGGACAGTAAGCCCAGGGGGCAAACACATTGTCTCTAACTCTGTCCTCATAGTAGGCTAAATATAGGACAATAAGCCCAGGGGACAAACACATTGTCTATAAGTCTGTCCTCATGGTAGGCTAAATATAGGACAATAATCCCAGGGGGCAAACACATTGGCTCTAACTCTGTCCTCATGGTAGGCTAAATATGGGACAACAAGCCCAGGGGTCAACACATTGTCTCTAACTCTGTCCCCATAGTAGGCTAAATATGGGACAATAAGCCCAGGGGTCAACACATTGTGTCTAACTCTGTCCTCATAGTAGGCTAAATATAGGACAATAAGCCCAGGGGGCAAACACATTGTCTCTAACTCTGTCCTCATAGTAGGCTAAATATGGGACAATGAGCCCAGGGGTCAACACATTGTCTCTAACTCTGTCCTCATGGTAGGCTAAATATAGGACAATAAGCCCAGGGGTCAACACATTGTCTATAAGTCTGTCCTCATGGTAGGCTAAATATAGGACAATAATCCCAGGGGGCAAACACATTGCCTGCAACTCCAGCCTTGTGGTAGACTAAACACATTGCCTACAACTCCAGCCTTGTGGTAGACTAAACACATTGCCTACAACTCCAGCCTTGTGGAAGACTAAATACAAGACAATAAGCCCATGGGGCAACTCATAACCTCTAACTCCAGTCTTGTGGTGGACTTAACACAGGACAAAGAAACCAACAGCAACATATATGGGTGGACTTATCACAAAGAGTAACTGCCAAATTTGGTTTAGTGTTGGGGATCTGTATAATTCACCATTAGTGCCCTTGTTGTGTACATGGTTAGTAAGCTAACAATACTTTGGTGGGCTGTGATAGTTATCTGTATAATTCACTATTAGTGCCCTTGTTGTGTACATGGTTAGTAAGCTAAGAATACTTTGGTGGGCTGTGATAGTTATCTGTATAATTCACCATTAGTGCCCTTGTTGTGTACATGGTTAGTAAGCTAACAATACTTTGGTGGGCTGTGATAGTTATCTGTATAATTCACCATTAGTGACCTTGTTGTGTACATGGTTAGTAAGCTAACAACACTTTGGTGGGCTGTGATAGTTATCTGTATAATTCACCATTAG